CTGACGATAAACAATAACAAGGCCTTCCCTGGCCACTTAAGGTTTTAATGCCCAGAAATGAACTCCAGTATCAGCTGTGGCTGAATGCTGCCTAGTGCACCAAAAACTCTGCCCCATGTCTCAGTTCTGCTTTTGGTTGATGGAGCTACGGGTTGTCAAACTACCCCAGGAAAAAATGTCTGCCACCAGGATGCATAATGTATGTTTCACTGGAACACAGCTTTGCTTTTCTTTTGTATGTTGCTTCTGGCTGCCTCCAATAGACTTCAGAAGAGTCAAATGCTACAACTCAGGTTTATGGCCTGTTACAGTTTGAGCTATTTTTCTATCTGGTCCAGTGCAGAAAAATTTTGTGATCGTCTGCTGTGGCTAAGTGGACAAATCATATTAGTCGTGTTTGTGGCCTTATTATATGACATGCTGAATAGTTCTGGATTTGTAAAGATTGATTAAGAAAACCCCAAAGTCTACATCATACCATCTGCTCTCAAGATATCACTTCTTAAATCTTAGATTGGATGACTAGTTTAGGGTGCTGTTTACGGAGAGTTTAGCTTGTCATTTTAATCTTTTAGGATTTATTTATTTATTTATTTATTTATTTATTTATTTGTGTGTGTGTGTGTGTGTGTGTGTGTGTGTGTGTGTGTGTATTTGATGATATTGGCATGTGGGGGTGCCTTTGGAGACCAGATGAGGATGCTGGATCCTCAAGAACTGGAGCTACAAGAAGTTGTGATGTGTTTGACATGGATACTGGGAACTGAGCTCAGGTCCTCTGAGAAATCAACACACACTCCTAACTGCTAAGACATCTCTCTAGCCCCAAGCTTTATACTTTATTTTTGGTCCAGTATGCCAATGATACTTGCAGCTTTCTGGCTAAAGCATTCCATTTCTGATACGGGCCAATGTGAAGATCCTATGGTAGGATAGGATGCAGAGATCGGAGTGCAGAAGGAAGCCCAGACAGTCAGAGGTATCAGATCTAACTCAAGTGTGGGTTCAGCACGAGGCTCTAGAAGAAGTTAAAAGGCTCATCATGTCCAATGTCAATGTGATGGGAAAAGGCAGAGGCTGAGATTGAGATTCTCATGAGAAGAAGGCAAAGGTTTTGTCCCTGAAGGGATGAACAACACATGGGGTTGTTTCTTCTTGCTGAGAAAGAGATGAACAAGCTGAATAAAGGCTAACCTGGACAGGACCGAGTTCAGTCATGGTAGCAGACTCCCTGGGGTTCCCATAGGTTGTTCTCCGTAGTTTTTGTGAGGAGACTAAGAGCTCATTGACTTTTTTAAAAAGTTGTTAAAGCACATACACACAACTTAAAAATCGTCAACTTGACCATTTTAAAGCACACAGTTCAGTAGCCTGCTGTATGTCCGTGCTGCATACCAGACCCCGAACCTCTCCATCTTGCAGGACTGAAACTGCACACATCAAACAACTCTCCGGGTACCTTAATTCTACTTCTTTAAAACAAAAGCTTACCACAGCCACCAAATGGAAATATTTGCAGCTCTTGAGGAGAATGCCCTGTGGAAGCAAAGCTGTGAAGAACAGTAGATGCAGTTTGGCATGTTTGTGTTACTCATTAACCAATGTCTCCTGTCTGTGTATGCCTCCACAGAGAAGAAAGACTTCTTCCCATCACTTGTGCATGTTAGCATGAACAGCTCTGGGGACAGAACTCAGACTTGAGACTCTTTGCAGAAGGATCCCAGTCAGGGTCCCTCACAGCTGTGTCTGGCACATGACAGAAACTCAAGAAGGTGTGCTTTCTCTGCTGGCACATACCAAGGGCTTGCTTTGAAAATAACCAGTGCATGTTGCTGCCTTGTTTGTTTGTTTGTTTGTTTGTTTGTTTGTTTGTTTGTTTTTAATGCATGAAATCACGGAGGGCTTTACATCCATTGTCCCTAGCCTTTTTTTTTTTTATTTCCATGCAGCTTGACTAAATGCCTAAAAGGAATCCCTATGGTGATTGTTATCACATGTATTCTCCATTTTGTAGAGTGAAACTATATTTTGCTCTGATGAAAGAGGGCTTTCTAGTACCTGAAAATTACCAACAAATTTTGTGAATTTATTTTTACTAAACAGTTCTCTGTATATCAAAGTCTCCCGTACATTCTGTGGCACATACACACATCTCAGAACTAATGAATATGTGCACAAACCAGACTGTTTTCATGGAAATACCTGTCTTTCCTGATAATACAATATTAAGTTTAAAAGAATTCAAAGGTTAGAGTTTAAGTGAATATATTCCTGTACACTAAAAGATACCTTATATAATATCTTTTATAAAGTAACTTATATAAAAAGAGAAAGCAAGTGAGAAAACAACAGATATTTAAGCAGAATTCAAAAGCTTTTTCACATGTAAGTCCAATAAAATGTGTCTTTAATATGCCAATCATCTGTTCCACAATGGTTGAGATGTATGGCTGGGGCCACGGTACCAGGACCTGGTCTTGACTTGCATCTCTACTGGTATTGAGCGGCGTACCCCTATGCTGCTAACTTTGTTTCTCTAAACCTCAGGTACCTCATCTTCAAAGGAATGACGATAACAGACTTCTGGACAGGATGAAACTTCTGCAGAGTCTACTCTAGTACCTGAGCTACAACACGTGTCCAGTAATAGTCATGCCATAATTACAACATTAATCTTAAAAACTTTGCTATAGATGCACAAATTTTGTTTGAAATTTGCCACTAAAATGTACAATTTGGGGACTTTGAGGACATTCATACTGTTATGCAACTGGCAGTTCATTCGATTCTTATAACAAAATATTTCAGTCTAAGTTATACAGAAATTTATTTCTCACAGTCCTTGAGGGTGAGAAGTTCAAGATCAGTGCGGCAGTGAATTCTGTATTTTGTGAAGAAGAATCGTCCTCTGCTTTGTGAATGTTGCCTCTCATTGCACACGTAGCAGGAGGCTGAATGGCTCACAGGAGAGTGGACAGCTCCCTCACTCTTATGTTTGACACACTAACCTCATCTGCAATGGCTCTACCCTAAGCATTTAGTTGCACCTCCTCCCCACCCCCATCCCCGCCTCCAGGCCTTTCTCTTAATACTATCACATGGTCGATTAAGTTTCAACCTATGAAATTTGGGAAAAAGCGATTAGCCAGAGCAGCAACCAGGCCCACCAGCCATCAGCACATTAATTATTAATACGGCTTCCGTGCACTGTCCTGGGGGCTAGACTCTTGATTTACCAGTGTGAGGTTTTATCAGAAGAGATGCCTTCTTTCTGTCTCAGAATCTTTTCAAATCCGGTCCTATCTGAATGTAGCTTGAGTTGGGAAAACCCTTCATGTGAAGTGTTCGAGACACCCGACTGATCCTAGCGCTATCTCGTGTCGGAAGCTGCTGCAGTGGGTGCTAAACAGACCTCCCAGCGAGTCCAGGGTAAGATGAATTCTCAAACGCCCGCACTGACACTTCACAGCGTCTTCCCCAGCAGTCGTTTCTGACTGCTGCCAGCCCAGTCTCTGCTAATGGAGGCTTATAAAGGCCTTCACCATTCCTATGGTAACCCAGGAGAAAGGCTGTTGCCATGGGGACTAGCCAAGCCTATATAAACCTTCCATCTCCATCAGACAGCTGAGAACAGAGTGTGAGAATGAATCCTTGCTAGTTCACCTTCAGAAATTGCTAATAATTATCACTGTTTTTCGGAAGAGAATTCATTGTTTCTTTCAGGCAGAAACTCATTCACATTTTGAACTTGAAATGAGGATTGTTCAAAAGCTTGCTTGCTGATCTTGGTGTCAAAAAAAAGTCATCTGGAGAATGAAATGGCTGGTGATTGAGCGGTTCCCAAATCTCTACAGTGTTACCAACCACTGAATGACATTCATCACAAGCATGTGAACAGCAGGCTGTTTCCAAAGAATGATCTGTTTCTTTGAGATGAATTAATTCTAAGCATGCCTGTTAATATGCTTCCACACTGCTTTACAGTTGGGGCTTGGAGAATCTCAGCTTCTTGAAGCCAGGATATAAAGACAGAGCCAGACTTACAGCACCAGCAGAAGGTCCAGCATGCAAAGGGCTAGGCAGTGGGACCAGTCCAGGACTGCTTCCGAGGATGACCAAGGAGAGCAACTAAATCATGACAGGCAGTCAGAGGGAAGTCTTCATTAGGGGACATCTGAGTCCCTGCCTGGATTCAGGTAGGACTGGGCTGGACCCTGTGGAATGTAGGCATTTTCAGTGGAGGATGGAGAACACATTGGGAGCAATGTTTTGCAAGCATCCTTTTTTTTAAAAAAAAGGAAATTTTTTATTCATTTTACATACCAACCACAGATCCTCTTTTCTTCCGTCCTCCTGCCCCCAACCTGCCCCCCCCAACCCATGCTCCATTCCCTCCTCTGTCAGGGTAATGCCTCCCATGGGGAGTCAGCGGAGCCTGGTACATTCAGTTGAGGCAGGTCCAAGCCCCTCCTCCTGTATCAAGGCTGCGCAAGGTATCCCTGTTGTATGAGCTGGCTCCTTGGAGCCCACTACCTATGGTGGGACACCTTGCACAGCCTCCTTCTAATGCAGGCACCAAGTAAGTAGGTAGCTCACAGTGGTTGGAGAAGAGAGGACCTGGATGGAGTGAGTAGCTTGTGAACAGAAAAGGCCTAGGAACTCTTCGTCCTTTCTTTCAGCTATTTACTGAATATTTGTTATTTGCTGTGGGATACGCTAGACCCAGACAATACAGAGATGTTTAAGATCTGAGTCTAGCTAAATGTTTCTCTAGGTCTATTTTGAGATACCCAGGTAAAACACAAATGATCATAGGAGGTAATATGTCAAGGGGTCTTTCAAGCTGGCTTGGCCCGTAGAAAACCTTTCTTGAATGAATGAATGAGTTGATGAATGAACCAATTAAAATCAACAATTTAATGTTTGGGATTGGAGATGAGAGAGAACGTGGTTGATTTACTTTCTGTGGCTCAGTGGTGATCGCACAGGGCAGAGCCACTGTGGAAACTTATTCCAAAGTGCTCTCCAACATTCTAAACAAGCAGATTTCACATTAGTGAGAATGGTACCTTGGAGGTCCATGACTCATGCTACATTGATGTATATGGTACCTTCTCATGGAGGGGTAGATACTAGCCCTGTTGTTAAGGAGAGATAATAATTTTTCCTTACATTCTCCCAGCTAGTCTTTCTTAGCCTTTATCTTTCTAGGCTGAGCATCCCTGGAAAAAGTGGTCCATGTGCATCCATTACAGTATTTAAACATTTAAGGGCTGTGAGGTATAAAGTACAATGCACAGATTAGGAGTAAGGGGTCTCTTGGGTCAAGACATGACCACTCACGACCGGTATGGGTCTGGGTCAGCATGTAACCCTCCTCAGTTCAGTTTCCTTCCATGTGAGATAGGAAGAGTAAGTATCCTGCTTTCCTTGCCATGGCCTGGAAAGTGTTAACGAAGCACAAGAAAGCTTTGTACTGAGTACAGTTTAGCCAAGTGTTGCCACCATTATTTGAGTAACTCACACTTAACCCTACCACATCTTTTTCATGTAGTGTGCAAAGTAGACACCTCGGCTTCTCTTTCTTCTAGGTTGTAGACATGGAAGGTGGAGGTCACAAAAAGTTTGAAGGTGGAATTAGAATATCTACCATTCATCTACTTGGCCTTGCCAAAGGTAGAAAACATGCTTTTTATAAGCTGTATTAAGAGGTACCAAATTTAAACTGCTTCAAACAAATATGGTAGATTTAAAGAAGAAATGGGAATTACAGGTGGAAGTTACCAAAAGGAAGATTTGGATTAATATTAATAAAAACATCTTAATATTTATGTTATAGTGGATGGTAAAGGATCTTTACAGTAGTTCCTGGTACATTGTAAAGAATTCTTAATAAGTAATTAACTCATCTAAGTTATTTTATAGGCACTGTGGTATAGGCACGGTTATAACTCAGTAAGAATTATAAAGTGCTTCTTCTCTGTCCTCAGGAACTGAGACTCTGCTTACAGAGTTAGGGGAACTGCCCTCTGAAGCTGTATGGGCATGGAGGGAGGTTCTTTTACTTTTGATCTAAAAAAACCATGCTGTTCAGGCTCCAAACGCATCCCCAGCAGGAGCCCTTCCTCTCTCTCACTGGCCCCCTTCGTTCCCCTGCTCAGTTTCGTTTCTCCTTTCACCTTATGCATGTGTTCATGACTTAATGGAACCTGTAAAATCCAAGAAGTGCAAATGAGAGGCAAGTACAATGGCTGGCTTTCTGGGATTGGCTTCATTTTTTAAATATGATTATTTTCAGTTTCATCTTTTTTTTTTTATCTGCAGAAAAGATGCCTTCGTCCTTCTCTAGGGCAGAAAATTTTCACTGTGTGTATATTGCACATTTTCTCTATCTATTCCTCTGGTTTTGGATTCCTAGTTCTATAAACTAGCTCTTGGGAACAGTGCTATAATAAACATTGATACTCAAGTATGTCTGGGCTCTTTTGAAAAATCAGATTCAATTTATTTGACGTATGTAAGACTATTCATGTTTTTAAATCTTTTGTATTAGCTTTAGAAGGTTGTTTTCTAAAGATTCGTCTGTTTCATCTAAATTGTAAGTTAATTGGTGCAGGTTTTTTTTTTTTCTTCCTAGTATCGTATTCCTGACTGGTTTCTGTAGGGTTCCTAGTGGTGATCTCTTCTTTGTTCTGGGTGTTCAAATTGTTTTCTTCTCCCTCTCCTTCCTAGGTCATGCCCAATGCTTGACATCTTTTCAAGGAACCAGCCTGTGGTTTGGTTGATTCTCTACTATATGTGTGTTTTCTATTTCATTAATTTTTCCTCTTAATTATACTCTTCTATCTTTTAAAGCTTATTTTGGTATAGATACTGAGGCCATTTATCATAGAGGGCATTTATTTTTAGTTTATATCTTTTATTTTAATGTAAGCTTTCAGACCCATTTTCCTTTCAATGTTCTTTATCTAAGTTTTCATTCTATTCAGCATATGTTTAATATACAAGGTTACTACTACTTTTTGACCTAGAGATTATTTAGAATAATATTGTTTAATCTGCAAGAAATTATAGTTATAGTTATATTTTTGTAGCAGATTAAACAATTAAACTTAATTTGGCTGCATTCAAAATTTTAAGTCAACCTTCCTAATGCTTCAATTCTTTAATATAGTTCTTCATGTTGTTGTGACCCCAACCATAAAATTGTTCTCATTGCTACTTCATAACTGTAATTTTGCTACTGTAATGAATTTTAATGTAAATATCTGTGTTTTCCAGTGGTCTCAGGCGACCCCTGTGAAAGGGTCTTTTTACCCCCAAAGGAGTTGCCATCCACAGGTTGAAATCATTGCTTAAGCCAACCTTTTGATATATTTTAAGATTTGCTTACAACTTAGGGTGTATCAATTTTAGTAACTTCTCTATGCCTGTGAGAAGAGCATATGTTTCATCTTAATAGTGTTCTTCCTATGTCAGATTGGAATTGTGAATTACATTGTTTAGTTATCTTTTGTTCTTAGTGATTTTTTTCCCTGTATATACAATCAATTATGAGAGTTATGTTAATGCTTTCCATACTGGTATTCATTTATTACTTTTAGTTTTATAATTTTTTTACATTATGCATTTCAAAACTCTGTTATTGAATACACCTTGGTGCATGGGCTGACTTTTTGGAACCTGGAGCCTATGCTGAAATACTTTGCTCAGCCTTGCTCTAGGGAGGAGGGGACTGG